TTATACCCTTCGTAGTTTTTGTGCTGCCTATTCCAATCCATCGAACGTTACTTTATTCATTTTGTGCTATTGTAAGCGGGCCCCTACCTAAATTATCCCCGGTAGAGTCGGGTCCAATTTTTTTTTAGTAAGGGTGGCTTTGGAAGCGTTATCGCTTGTGGGCTTCAAGGAATACAAGCTATGTATAAAAAAATATTTTAACCTTTTGTTTCTTAAAATTTTACAAGCGAATTTTAACGACTGCTATTCTTCTTCTTTAAAAATTACATATTACTTAAATGTAAGTAACTAGATTTGTTCTTAATAACATTTGCTTTAATATGAACATAATTATAGTTATGTATTTTTATAGTTATTATATATATGCTATTATCTATGCATATTATGCAGACTAAGATATCAAACAGTATTTTTCTTTAAATGAAAGTAATTTTACGGATTTTATCGTGTTTAATTTTAAATGTCTTTAGCTGTATTCTTGAAATGTTGGTTACAAATTTTAAGTAAATAACCATAGACGTATTATATTTATAGGTCCATGTAAGTATCATCATAATTCTTAATAAACAGGTATAAAATGAATCTGCTATGGATGTTCCTGTTCAGCTTAACGGCAAAAACTATTTACCTGCGTAATTCAGGCAATTTTATAGGTAACTAATTATAAGAACCTGCGAGCACATAAATTCAATTCCCGTAATTCTATTGTTCAATTCTTCATTTATCAAGTAAACACGTTCACTGCTGAGTCACTCGTGTTCAACCATCTACTATCTCTACCCAGAATACAGAAAGAAATTAATTTATTTATTGATTTAAGGCCGAGTAGGTTGGACAAAAGTTTTGAATAAGATTTTGACGCTCGAGAATTGATACTTTTTGAAATCAAATAAAATTCTAAACAAAACAAAATTACACTACCATTTACATTCAGTGGGTTCCCACATGATAGATGAAGAGATTAAAAAATAGATTGACTTAAACAATTGATATTTTCAAAACTTATCGTGTTTACAAGCCTTGGGGACATGATAAATACACACCATAAGCCACTAAAACCCCTTTTTTATTTAAAAATAGCAATTAATCGATTTTAAAAAAATATTAATAAGTTCATCAATCATTTATCTTTCTAACAATGTGCTTTTTATATAATTTATATGTATAATATGATTGCTAGATACGATTTTATTCGATAAAACATTGGAATCTTAATTTTTAGGCGATAGTAGAACATACCTTGCGCTTTCGCTTAAGGTATGCAATACTTTTATTAATTGAGATATAAAATATAATTTATCGCCGGGAAAAAACCTAGATGTTCGAGTTCTTGTTTTTGTTTAAGTGATAACAATTGAATTAGATTTTTAATCGTCTATATTCATATTTAGATTCTTTATTTCCTGAGAATGAGCATAATCTTTTAATATGTATAAAGTAACCTTTTGTCCACCGAATGTCGCGAGCTTACTCCGTGCTGAACAAATGCGAGTAGGTATGTTGCAGCGGGGAAGGGAGCACTAAAAAAATAAATCTTCGCCTTAACTTTATAATATCAAAAGATATTTAAAAAAATTATCAACATTCACCATTTATTACTTGATTATTGTCCAATTATGATACACGAAAAAACTAATACACGAAATTTTCTTGAACTCTCAACCCTGAAATCACTTAGAAGCTCTAGGTATATGGTTTAATACAAGGAAAATATTTTGTACTTCTTTAGTCGGATAATACGATACGTGTTTCGTCTCTACATGAGATAAAATCAGAAGAAATAGACTCTGCAATGGCTGACCGCTGAGAACTCAGATGGTCAGCCATTGTGGATGTGTCTTTCTTAGTGTAGTAGTGTTGAGATTAATGGTGACGGGAATAGTTCACGCAATTGATGGAGGGTGGGAGGTGATCTTACAACTAGGTAAGCACATTAATTTTATTATTTTCTAACAGTGGTAGAGCCACGCGGCGGTTTTTGCTGTCGCACGGATGGGCCGGCTCGAACCGGGGTGGTACCACGACCTCACAGAATACCAACGTGAAGTAGAGGTTTACCTCTGCGTTTCGCTTGGTGAGTGCAGGTGGCCGGAGGCCCTTTTTACTGGAAATGAGGCATTCCATCTATGTCCTCACGGGTGACAACGCATCTGCATTTTGATTCGCAAACGAGGATAGATGTAGATGTCTATGGGCCGCAGCAACCACTTACCATCAGGTGGACTGTGTGCTCGTTTGTCACCCTTATCTTATAAAAAAAAATTATTTTATGCGAATATCAGCTAATAATTTCAATAACTTTAGTACTTATGCCTTCTTTAATAACGGTATTTTAAACAAGACACTGGTAGCTCGGGGGCTGTCTTCGGTGTAAATTTTAGAGTACGAGAGCAACCAGAGTTTGAACCCCACCTACAACACAGAAACTGTTTACAGTAATTTTTAGTATTGACTCACCACAACATGTTTGGCATTGAGTGAGTATGAATGTTACGAAGACTTATGAAGTCGGACTCTATCACTGCTCTACAACCCCTCTTAGAAATGAAAGGTCTATGCCCAACAGTGAGGCATATTACTATGCTATTATAATATTAAAAACTTTTTTTTACAAAACGCGAAAAGTTAAATGGAGAAAGATAATGGAACATCCCATTGTTTTTTGTTTGTAAAGGTATCTACGGTTTTTAGTGTTAGGGACGACAATCAGTTATTCCGTCATTGAAAACTATAATAATGTAGGTAAGGGATTTTATTTCTGTGTTAGCATAACAGTATAAAGTTGAACTCGAATTTTAAAATAAATGATGATGTTATTTTTTTACAGTTCACATGTAATTAATTCAATTTTAGGTCGTTGTATGATAAACTAAAAGTAGCCTAAAATTGTTAAGGCTTTTTATAGAGTTATAGGCGAGCTAATGTTTTATAATTTTTGTAACAATTTAAAAAGCTTACGATTTCTTTTCTCCTCTATTGTTGAGACGATTTACATACATACATTGTACATTGTCAAAAATCAAGATCCGCAACAGGCTAAACAAACATTTTTGTCCGTGCAATTTGAACTCGGGGTCCGTTATGAGTTATCACCATTGTATTTTGCTCCTTGGGTATCACACAAATGCTTGGCTAATTAGCTAGCTACCAATTGTCAAAAATTATTTTTTGGATTTAAAAATAAGATCCGAGTATGCCGTCATGGGTATGGTTTAGGTACTGTATCTTGCTTAGAGTATAATATGTAAATTATCTTGCTATAAAGCAATCATACTAGGTAGATGTCGATAAAGACGCAATAAAATATCAATCACGAGATAATACATTTAAATAATATTAGAATAAAAACCAGTATAATTGTGGGTGTCGTAAGAGTCGTCAGACGGAAACAAATCAGCAAGTGGGCACCAACTTCTTCCTTATAACAGCTAAAAATAAAAATCTGCGGTTGTCCTCACAACTTTCAAACGACATGACAATTTATGAGGAAGGCCTATGTTCAGCAGCGGACTTTGGCAGGCCTGGTATTCTGTGAGAGTGCGGTCCTACCCCGGTCGAGCCGACACATTCGTGCTACAACTATAATATAGCTGCAGCATGGCTCTACCACGTTGGAATATTATATCCGTGTTATTATTTTTATATACTTTTTACTATTTATTATAAAATAATTGGTTTTATTCGTTTGCCTTTTGAATGGATATCGGTTTCTTTTAGAAATTTGCAACGATTTTAGATTCTATAGGCAATAAATCTCAATTAGATACTTAGTTTTAATACCTATATTATATCCCATATATTTGGAACTAGTTGCTTACAACATTTGTATCTAGGTATCAACTTATCTGATATTACGATTGTACTAGAGACTAGAGACTATGGCTCCTTTCCGGCCTAGGAGTTCCACATAGGTGGAATGTAACGTTGATAGTACCTAGGTTGACATAGGTAGAACTCCTAGGTTAACCTAGGTACTACAAACGCCTTGACCGAAAAATATTCGAATAGAAACGTTAATACGTTATGGTTAATAAAATAAAATTTGTCTTCAAATAAGAGTTAGGTACTTAATAAATAAGCAGATAACAATTCTTTCTAACTGTTTGAAGGTAATTACATTTTTGACGTACAATAAGCGTACTGAATGCTAACAAGACATGTAAGTGAGAAACAAAAGGTCATGAAGCGAGACAGGCGTTTCACTTATTTCGCCAAACGTTTAATATTAAGAAAATCTATAAAGAGGGAGTAGAGCACATGGCGGTCTATCAAAACAACAAAGCCGATTGGTGTGGTGACGTTCCACCCCGGTGATATGTACGCCGTACTACCTAAATGCCTTATGTACACCGCTAGTTACTACTTCATGGCTACTCCGAGCTCAGTGTGTTCTGCAATGCAACGGAAAATATGCGTGTTTACCAAAGTCGTTTCGGTAGAACGGTGTCGTGTGTTGCGTCACGTTTAAGGAAATTGATAGTGCGCCGAGGTCGACGTGACTAGCATTATCGTGAATTCTATATTATGTTTTGTAACAGATTTCATATTTGTTGTAAATGATTTTGAATTATCAGTGCATTAAAACATCATGGAGATCAAGTTTTCCAATCTAGATACTCCCGGTGGATACTCGACTAATGTCCGACGCCACGACACAGCCCGCGTCCTATATAACCTTGTTAACGCAAGTAAGTTAAATATACATTTTGTACGAACAATGAATTATTCGTGTTTATGTAATTAATTATTATAATAATATAAATAACTAAAAAAATACTTGGGATAGTGATAAAATAAGTCTGTATTTGATGTGTAAAAATGTTTAAAAACACCATTGCGAATAATAATATTGAACGTCACTACAAGTACAGTCGACAAGATGGCGGCGAGTGGGGAGAGGGCGCCCAGTTGGCCAGGTGCTGCCGCCGCGTCGAGTTCGGCGCTATAGCTAACTAAATAGGTACGCAGCGCAGCAGTGTTGTACATTTAGAACGTTCACAATGGCTACCGCGAAAGACACGTCTACCTTTTTTCTGGAGGCAGATGCGAAACAGTTTGACAGTGTTTTAAAGTTATACCCACAAGCAATCAAACTAAAAGCTGAACAGAAAACAAAGAAACCAGAAGAGCTCATAAAATTGGACAATTGGTAAGTGCGAACGTCTTTCGTTGGAGAAAATGCGGCCGTGGCGTGTCAATGAACTTGTATTGTGTGTGTATCCGTGCAAACTGATTTGATAGCTACCTCCCTCGCGGACTGCATCTCTAGTCCGCGGACGGCTCATTAAAATCACTGCGTCACGTGGGATCGATGTCAATTTGACACTATCGTTTTTCCTGAAGCCAGTGTGGGGGAAAATATCGCCGCGCTTAGGCGTTATAAAATGGTGGCTGGCCTTTACTTACATTCATCGCTCGTAAACTCTTTTAGTTTACATGCATTATGAGTGTTTCACCACGAATTCCATAGATATATCGATTAAATATCATACTAGATAACACAAATGAAATGTTATTGTATTTCAAACTACTGGTAGTTAGTATAAAATACAATGCTTTGTTGTGTGCGATTCACATCCGCTCAAAATGGTGACTTGCCTTTTGGCTTGTATTCTACATTATTTTTCAATATTTTGCTGTTAATAAAGTTAAAGTATCTTTACTTAGGAGTTTAATAGTTACTGTAACCTCTTGGAGACTTTTAGCAGGATAATTAAGTTAATGTCATGGATATGGCAAATAAAAATTGTGATGAGTCATCAAATACATTGTACATTAATCATCACTTTTGTTAAAGTAACAAAATTAATTAAATTATTTTGTTTTTGTAAATAAATATCTGTTGTGTAATGCTAATATTTTATTAATTTTTGCAATTTTTGATCTCAAGGTCTACACTAAAAAAAAAAAAAACTATAATATCTAAAGGTATAAATCAGTGTTATTATAGGTAGGTAGGGTAGATGCCCCCATTACCCTAGCCTTTTATTGCCAATTTTAACTTTAAAAATTCCTGCTATTTTAATTAAAGATCAACACAAATATTAGAAATATTTGAAAATATTTGTGTTGATCTATAGGTTATTAATCCAAAAATGTAATAAACATTCATTTACAATCATATTATTTCAAGGAAAATTTCAAAAACGACGATAAGTAAAGGTGTTATGGCTCAAATTCCAGCCACCCTGTACCGAATGTCGTCCTTTTGTTTACCTATGCATGCCTAACATAGGGTTATGCACTTCGAGCTATGGTATAAGTTTTAGAGGCACAGTAATAAATTTGTAACAACTTATAATGTATGCCACGAGCATGAACTATGTATTAAAACGGATAACAAAAAATAATTTTAATGTTTTTCTACGTAAGTACTTACTTACCTTACCATAAGTGTTTTAGTTTTTAGCAATTCAATTTTTCTTATGACTAAACAATTCATTAAATAAATTATGATAAGAAATTATTGTAGCACATCGATTTTTTATAAATTAATCATCCAAGTATAATCATCATCATCATTACAGCCCATCACATGTTCAAATCTGAACATACTCCTTCATAGTCACTTTGCTTGTCCTGAAATTTTCATTTATGTACTAAGTTGTAATTAGTACTACTAAATAATAGTTAATTATATTTATTACTTGTTTTTGTCTTTCTCAAAAAATAATGCAGCCCATCAATAGCGTCACCATCGGGTCCAAATGTGAATCTAAACATCTAGGGACCCATTCAAACAAATTTCTATCAAAAATCGTTTTTTAAGTTTTAGCGAGACTAACGGGCAGCAAATGATTTTTATGTATAGAGATATTTAAATGTCTGATAGAAAAGCAAGTAGTAGTACAGATTTTGCTAAATTTTAAATTTAAAACCAATTTTATAACATAACTTCCTTAACTTTAGAATAAGTTGACCTAATTAATGGTATTTGTTCTAGTTTATGTCAACCCTGATTTATATTACGGGGCTGAAATTAGGCACTTTTTATTAGGTACGTCAAACCAAATAACAGCTTGACGGCTGACATTATGCACTCCATACATTTAGTATATCTAATTACAGCCCCATTAATTTCCACTAAAAGAAAATTAAAAACTTGTAAATATAAACAAAAACAACTGCATTACTGTGTCTATAATCATATTCATGCAAATCACAACGCCAGAAGACGAGATAATGTAAAAAGCCTAATTTTATCAGGACCATAACTTGTCGAACAATTAGGAAAATGAGCGTTCCCTTGCGTACCTATGTGTTTTGAATACTGATAGATTTATAATAACTGTGTGATTATATTTGAAATAATATACCTACTCTCCGGTTATGATGCGGAATTTTTCAGTTGACAATAGTTATAATTAAGACTACTATATAGAAACCTTAGTTGTGAAACAAAAAGGCGAAAAGGCATCCACCCTACGATGACTAACATTAATTAATTTATTTTAATTAATAAATTTTACAATGATTATGAAAAGATAATTATTGCTTGGCTAGAAACATTGTTTCAATCTCAATAATTGTTTAAATAACATCACATTAATACCTTTGCGATTTGACTTCTACCCCTGACTTTCTCATCACGAGATCTCCAAAACTATACGCCCGATTGACTTGAAATTTGGCATAATATACATGTTCTCGACGTAGACACATTAAAAAAGGATTTTAGAAAATCCAACCCCTGAGGGGTGAAATAGGGTGTTAGAGCTAAGAAATATTGTTGTAGTTGTATAATGTTAATTTACAACTAATAAACGATGGGGGTTAAAATTTATGTCCCTATCTATAAGTATAAATTATATAAATTTAATACTTATTCAAGACGTATACGAAATATATTTTAATTACATATTATTTAATATTTTTTATTTATTTTTATTTACGCTTATGTAGGTAAAGATCCCTTTACAGTTTCTCAAAGTATGTAATAATGTTTTAAGTATCAAAATAAATTATTGTAAAACAGCACAACATATTAATATTGGTGTAGGTAACAACATGTGATTATTAAAACATTTTTGACATCATCACCAGTCCGTAAGATCTACTGCTGGGCATGAGCCTCTCCTGTCAGGAACAATTTATCTGAAACTTTCCGCTTGGCAAGCGATTGACGATCGCAGTGCCAGATGTTTCGCACCTTTGACACTCCCGTCGCCGGTTTATGCGAGTGGTGGTATTTTACATTTGACGTAAACGAGATGATACATATACCAAGTTCTTGAGCCATAAGATATTTGTGCTTATTTCGTATAGTCACCTCTTAGGACACCGATGTGATGAAATGGGATGACGGATTCGCTTACTCCGCCATCATACGGTAGCAACATTTACGATATATTGCATCATCGAAAATTAAGTTGCCATTGAAAATATAAATTTTTAATAATTAATTAAATTAAGTGTTTAAAAACATGGTTTAACATTTAGGGGAAGTACTCACAATTTTTTGTCAAAATTTACAGGTACCAGAATGAATTACCTAAGAAAATTAAATCTAGGGGGAAGGATGCACATATGATACACGAAGAGTTGGTGCAGCTCATGAAATGGAAACAAGCAGTAAGTTATAAACATTAGAACTATTAGCATAACAAATCCGTAACTAACTCTCTTTAATAGAGGGTTTGTACTGAAGGCTTAATTTCAATTAATATTTAAATGTAAAAAACCGCATTTTCAATAGTATTTAATGGCAAATTATGTTTAACACTATAAAGTTAATGACGCAATACTAAACACTTGCACATATAGCACATTATACACACAACAACGTAAGGTGGTTGGAGGATCGCCATTGTCGTTAGACAAATCTTGAGCCTTAAGTTAGATTCAATCCCTATTTAAACCGACACAAGTCATGAAATTACGCAAAATAAATAGGGAATTTATACAACTAGTCCCAATATATTTTTATATTGTCCTTCGTCAGTCGACGTAAAAACACTTTCGAAATGAAACCAGGAGGTTTATTATATCGTTTATAGAGAATTTAAAAAGAGAACAAATAAACAAAAAGGCCATCTCTCGACGTGCTAAGAATGCTCAATCTTTTTCTCACTTCTACTGATAGTAAATATGGTGACTACACTTATGTCCGATTCCTATATTCAAGAAACATTTCATTCTCCGTAACGAATCGTTTTATTACATACTAATACTACGAGGTGCATGTAAAACAGTTTATACATATTACAAAGTAATTCATTAAGTAACAAAGGTCGATTAAAAAAAAAAGGTTTAAATGGTTCATAAATAGTTGAACTGGTATTTTGTTTTTTTAGTAAAATAAAACAAAGCGTTTTAAAAAAAATTGAATCATGGCATCAGACGCATTATAACTCAGTTGCAAAATTGATAATGAAGACTTAATAAGTACTATTTTTCACTTGGACGTATTTAGAATTTATTTAGCGTTGTTTAATAGAACTTCCGACGATATATATTTTTCAGGGATGATCATTTTTAGAGGTTCTATATGTATATAAGTAGGAAATGTTTTTATATGCTATAAAATACCATATGTTGACGGCGTAATCCCTCACCTTAGCCGCTGTTTGTCGAAAGAATCTAAAGCAAGATTTGTTTATTAAACTAAAGAACGAACTTACGGTCCACTCCTAGGCAGGAAGAGAGACCTACGTCCTAGTATCTGCCTACCTACAAAATATCCAAACTAGCGACGGGGGGGGATTCGATGCTGCGATACGAAATCCAACAACATGATAATTAAATTCATCCTTAACATGGGAGTAGTTGTTATAACATGTTCAGTAGTGATGAGATTATTTTTTTAAAGAATGGGTTGACAAACGTGCACACAGTCCACCTGATGGTACCTTAGTGGATACTGTGGCCCATATACATCTACATTTATTTTCGATTAAGAGTTCGTCCCTGAATACAAAGATGGAATGCCTCGTTTCCAGTAAAAAGGATCTCCTGTTCTCTACACTCCGATACGACGAAACAGCAGTATATTAAGCTGCTATTTTACGCTGGCATTGTGTATGGGCATGGGCCTTCCCCGGACGAGCAGACCCATTCGTGCTACAACCATAAAATAGCTGCAGCGTGGCTCTACCACGTAAAAATTACAGTTCTATAAAACTTCAGTCAATTTTTTCTCCTATTGCAGAGGGGAAAATTTTACCCGCAACTATCGTATCTTATCAAAGTGAACACACCAAGGGCCGTTATGCAAGAGACAAAGAAAGCTTTCCGCAAACTGCCTAACATAGAATCAGCAATGACAGCACTAAGCAACCTGAAAGGAGTAGGTACAGCCACAGCATCAGCTCTTCTCGCTGCAGCCAGCCCAGAAATTGCGCCTTTCATGGCGGACGAGTGCATACAAGCCATACCGGAGATGGAAGGAAGTGACTACACTGCCAAGGAATACCTCAATTTTGTAAAACATATTAGAAATGTCTGTGATAGGTTAAATAAGGTAAGAGTTTAAATTAAGTATATTTTAATTTGTAGTTCTTTTATGTGTTAGCCTAAAATTAAGTTCACGTTTCTTTACCTGCACGGACGCGTGTCAGTATTTTTTTCATTGAATCATCAGTTTTGTGTGGCGAACTTCCAATAATTCTATTTAAGCAAATAATCGTAATAATTGTATCTGTATCATTCAACTTGAATATTTAATATAATCTATATAAATAAATAAAATTGAAGTGTCTGTTTGTAATGTCAAAATACCAGCTTTTTACTAAATGCATATGGAAGTATATACGGTACTTATAACAAAACACAATTTTTTAAATTTTGTCTATCTGTCCGTCTGTCTGTTTGTTCCGGATAATCTCCGAAACGGCTAGACCTATTTCGACGGGACTTTCACTGGCAGATAGCTGATGTTATAAGGAGTAACTTAGGTTACTTATATTTTAGAAAAAGAATTAGGGTTCCGCGCAGCATAATTAAAACCCTAAATTACACACGGGCGAAGTCGCGGAGAACAGCTAGTATATAAATATTCTCCAGTGACAATTTATGAATATGATTGTAAGCAATCCTCTGAGCACATAATATAATAATATCACAAGTATACACAAAGACATTCACTCGTAAGACGAGACGCCCATATCAGATGTAACACTTAGCGATAAGACCAATGTTTAACGCTCAGATGAAGTGTCGAGACAAAACATAACAATACACAAAGGAGAATGGGATTTTTGGGCCTGAAGTTAACTAATTGGTTTATACTTTAAAAAATTGTCCATAATTTTCTTAAGTAAAATACAAAAAAGTAGCTCTTTTTACAATCTAGGTTTCGAAAAAACAATAAAATAAGAAATAAGTTAGAAAATCGATTGTAGTGTATTATTTATGGCAATAAATCGATTACCATAAAGAATACACTAGTGAAATTCTCTTTTCTGAACGTTATCTTCCAATAGAGGACTTCTCATTTTGAAACTTGATTTGACAGTTCAAACTTCAAACTATTTACTTAAAAGAAAAAGACAGATTTTCGATTCGATTTGAAAGGAGCGCAATATAATCGATTCTCAATTAAATTAAGCATTTTAATATCTATTTTAGATTATTTTTCTGTGTTAACTAGGGAGATAAAAAAATTACGTAAATACAAAATAATAATAATAAATACAAAATATCAAAATTCCAACAAGTAACTGTTATAACAACAATTCAAGTAATCAATCTCAGATCGATATCACTAATATTCACTTCACTTAATTGTTGTTGCTTTAACTTTCGTTAATCGTTTCACTATTTTGTTTCATTATTAACCACAGCTTTTTTGGTGATTTTGTACTGATCCTGCTTTTATATCTTTAAGTAATTATAATGAAAAATAGCCTGATACAGGGTAATAACAGTGAAAAATCACCTGTTACAATGTAGGTAATAGATAATCTCACTTTTACTTATTCTACAATAACTCAGCTCCTAGATTGACAAATCTTGCCAGACTTTCAAATGTTCTTACTTTCATCTTGTTAACACTTGGGCCCAAAAATGTATGGAAACGTTTCCTTCTCCTTTATATATTTGCACAACTTTTTGCCTACGTTCATTCGAATTCATAATCGAAGTTACTATAAGAGGCTAGGGTACACTACGTGGTACACTTAGGTCTGCGAGGCTTCGACTGTCATATTTGGAATAGGCGATTATATTTCAATACCTATTGGGATCTTTAAAATTCTTTTATAAAGAGACTTGTTGTTACTACTACTTACGCATAGAATTATTACGCATAGAATACTAGTACGCGCACCGAAAGTGAAGTAAAACTAACGCGAAACCGCGTAAGTTGACTCGGCGACGCGTCAGTGCGCAACGTCACGTCTTACGGAGAAGAGCTCGCGAAAAATTGTAAAAGTTACCGTTTGTGTTGTAAAATATTGTCACAACGGTGATGATAAACATAAAAGAAGTGATGGTATTACATTTCACATATAAGTTTATACATTAAATTCATTATAAGTACCTAAAACTAAAAAAATACTTACCTAAGCTCTCATAATACAAATGTTGCTAGTTGTGGGGAAAAAATCACAGTTTTCTTTTATAAATATATATTTGCTATTTGTGTTTAAAACGCTTAATCGCAACGCTCTGTGTAAAACTTAAATGTTTATATATAGATACCTACTTCTCTAAGTGTTAACATTATATTAACAATGGGTGCCTATTTAAAACTAATACGGAGTGATCAGCTAATCGCGATTCGTCGACGCCATTTTAACGCAACTATTTTATTTTAATTGCTTTGTTTATTGACTAAGGCTACGTTTTAGAGTATAGAATAAAAACTTTTTTATTTACAACATCATGAGATTATTAATAAGAACGCCTTTACTAACCAGATGTCACTTTACACCCAAACATTAACCAGATGTTACATTAGACCCAAACATAGCCTATTTTAACAGACCCCCAAAAAGAAAGGTTATCAATATGTATGTACACTGATTTATAAGCTTGATCAATTCGTATATACATGCTGAAATTTTAGTGGTTGTTGTCCCGCAGCCAAATTATACTGTCTCGATAGTAGAGTCAATTTATTAAATTAAAAAATATTACAATTAAAAAAGGGCAGATTTACAATAGTAATACCTCACAAGCTATTCGGGCGTCCAAACTAGTTTATGTCGTATCACTACGGCTGAGAGTTCATGTTATGAACATTTATTAGTTGCCCTTCACTGTGTAGGAAGCGCGCGGTAGCGCGTGCGATAGATGTAACACTAAATTACGTCCAGCGAATTTTTTTTTCAGACCTTATTATAGTAATTCGGTATAAGCTAGCCTGCACGCCCGACCTACTTGCGAGATATTGCTATTAGTTTGAGATCGCATTCGAGTTTTGTTTTTCTCGATTGTAAATCTGCCATTTTTACATCGTAATAATTTTATTTTAATTAATCAAAATCATTTTACTTCGGGGAAACAACCATTAAAATTACAGCGTGTGTATTGGATCAATCTGTGTGTATATCGTTTCAAAAAAAAAAAATCTAAATTGGTTTAGAAATTGTAGAATTTGAGGTAAAAAACATTAAAAATACACCGAATTGATAACCTGCTCCCTTTTTGAAGTCTGTTAAAATTAAACATTACACGATGTGCTTATTGTATTCGAGCAAATTAATTGTGTTTAATAATATTCTTAAATTTTATTACGTCTGCATTTTTTACCCTTAATATATGTATAATAAAGTTATAGAAGTACCATCATTATCGTGTTCATTTTATTCCATTTTATATTCTCATAAAATACATCTTCGTACGTAATACCTAATCTTTATTTAATCGATTTTTTAAAATTAATCAAAAAATAGTGATTTGCACAATTTGATTGCAAACGCCAGAAACTGGTATCATTGAATGGCGTGTATGTGTGCGGGTGACGAGCGTAGGCACATTCGACTCGCGCCCACTAACATAATGACCTTGCATCATTTTAACGCTCGTGTTTTGTACTAGACTGTGTTTCTATGCGTAATAATTCTATGTACTTACGATTACTGTTCTGTGACTGAATAATATTTTCTGTGAAAGTAATTAATTAAAAGAGAATGTCCAGAACAAAAAAATGGTGTGATAGACCTAGGGTTTGTGTGATGCGGATGCAAAGGACGGACTTAATGCCTTTAGGTATTCTCTCCCATAGATTATTATTTTATAATACATAAATTGTTGGGTTTTGGATTTGATTGTTTTGTAGTTGCCGACATTTTTGGATCGGTGAACCATTCCTTTCTATCTTATCGCTTATGGGTTGTGAGTAAATTTGGAGCCTATAAAGGTATAGGTCTACTTTCATATGGAGTAACTATTTTGCCACACTGCTCGCGTCTTTTGAGTTGAAATATTGTATTCCTTAGACATGTAAATTTCCTCGCGATGTATTTCTTCACTGCCGAGCATAAAATAAAGTAATAAAAACTCATCACGTTCCCAGATGAACTCTCTCCCATAGATTGCCAAAAAGCACGATCCTGTTTTATTACGTCTTTGGATCCTGAGCCATCTGTATTCATATCAACTCTGCATATTTCAGCGAATCTTCACTACATTAGTCATTGGAATACGGGGAGTTTTGGCGGGAAATTCACCGCAGGCGCATTACTGTTCATGTATTATTGTTGATTCATGGTTTGAAGTAGATTTTAACACTTAAGATGATTGTGAAAATTGTGTAAATTTTCATACAACAAGCAATAACGTTTTTTCATCCCGTGAACATAGTCTTCGTAATTTCGTCGTCGTTCGTCTTTCATTAGTTTTGGAAATGTAGATATATTAAAAAACTAGTTCTGTACATTTTCATTTTAAAAACATATTGCGTACGATATAAGTTTTTTGCATCTAATTATTTATATTTTTGACTAAAAACTTCCTCGAGCGTTTTTTAAGTTGAGTATTTTTACGTTTACGTTATCGCCCGAAACAATATTTCAAAAAGGAAATGTGGTCAATTGCTTCCAAGACTCAACTCTCTATCGCACGATACGGCGATTACTGAGCGAGCGGTATGAAGCTGATAGCATTTTTGATAATACGTACTCGCGCCGCATATCGGCACTTCACAATTCCTCTTAAAAGTGGTGCGATTTTGTATATTAAATGTCTACGCATGTTTGCAATGTCTGTGAGCTATTAGCAAATGATAAAGCAAGAGCGCCGATGGTGATGGAAACCTCAAGTTATTTCGTTTGCTTGGATGCCTTAGATATTACTGTCGTCATGTCTGTGCTGGCTCAACCTGCCGTCAAAATTTCCCAAATCTCACGTGATAATGTGTCGCATCAACCATATTGTGGATAAGTTTGTAACAAATATTGTTATAAAAGGTTAATTTCTTATTATTTGACGCCGGTTAAAAGTAACAAACCGTAACCGCAATAATATGCATTATAAAAATTAGAATATTTTTATGCTGTTCACTTAAATTTTGTCCCACCAAGGCGTTCATTAGTTCCAAAAAATATTTTTCCCTTACAAAACAGAAGCCAATAAGGGTAGGCAAACATAGTGTACCTACTTAATTTCTCCTTCAAAATATTTTTCCACAAATATTATTTCTTTATCCCAACATTCTATTAAAGATAATCATACACAATAACTTTATAAGTCTATTTAGAATGCAAACAAACAGTGTGTAATTACTCTAAGGGTTTCAGTATGTCATTCGGGGAAGCTTCTCCTTTGCACTACATCAATGAATAAAATATCGTAAAGATTTTAAATTAAAAATTTGTTATCTATTATCTGTTAGGAACAAAACGGCTGCGGCAAAAAATGGTCACCACACATGGTCGAGTTGGCGCTATGGACACACAATATTGTATCAGACTTGCAGCCAGAACTCCTAGGCAAGGAGCCTAAATTGACAGCGCCAACGAATGGAGGTTCCCCGCTACCGAGCGACGAGAGCAACCTCGAACCGCCCGCAACGAATGGAAATGGTGAGTAAAAAATCTATTCATTACTAACTGACACCTACGTTATTTAGGAAGAAAAGAAAAGAAACACAAGTTTTGCACAGACTACAGAGCATTTAAATACACAACAAAAGTTTATAACTTAAATTACTTAAAAAATCACGTAGAACATACTATGTACGTCGTTAAAGTATGTCAAAAAGGTTAATCACTGCACATATTGTGCTGAAACCACAACGCTGATTTTCTGGTTCAGAATTCTAAATTTTTAGTTATATACCCATTTCATTAACTGTTAAATTAAAAACTTTATTAAATAATTAATTAATTAATAATAAATTTTTGATATTAAAATCATTGATTTTGTAGTGGCGGTGAAAGATTATCCACTACTCCATATCGTTACCGTCTTCCAAATAACAACATAAAAATAAAAATACCTGCCAAGGGTAACAGGTAGCAACTATGGCAAAATCCCCCTTATATGAAACAATCCGTGGGGAGGCCTTTGTCCACCTGTGGACTTTGATAGGATTGAATGACTGATAAAAGCATGACGTAATTCTGGTTTTCATTTGCAAAGAAAAATACGTAAATATACTTTTGACTTTTGTTTGTCACGGTCATTTAGTTTAGGGCATTGTGATTTGTGACATGTATTTTCAAGAATGTTTATATCCAGTTAATAGTATGTACCGATGATAAAATAATTACAGTTGACTGCGGTAATCCGACAAAGGCTTTGCAAGGTAGTGTCGAATTATCAAATTTGTCGGACTATAGAGTACTGCCACAACCAGGCCTCTGTCAGTCTTGCTACCTGCGTGAAATAATTACCTACAATCGCGAGGCGCCCCCGAGATAGAACGCTGTCGGGGCTAGTGAGTTCCAAGCGATTGAATGTTAAAGTTTTTTAACGCTGTTCACGTAAATAGTTTTTGTTTAGTGTTTAGTATATTTATTTGTAGGTTACAATAGTTGAAAAAGTTTTAATGTAATTTAAGAATAATATATAATATGTAAAATTAGCAATCTATTTCATAAATTATAATGGGCAAAACGTCGTCCCTGCTATAGTTGTTGCGGGGATGGGGATGGATGCCTAATGAGCAAACAAAAGGATTCAGATATATCATTTTTAAGTTACTGAAGGATACTGAAAGGTAAATTTATTTTACTTTTTGTTAGATAGGTACTTACAGCAAAAAAAGGATTAAGTATTAATTTAACTATAGAAGTAATACCTAAGTACTTTATTACAAAACTTAGTTAAAATTTACTTCACTACCCAAGTACCTACTTACATACCTATACTTGTCTTTTGTAATTAAAATATTTTAAGTTATAATAACACAAAATACTGAAATTAAAACTTTGTTTACAAGATTTTTAATTAAGTAGAATACGATCACATTTCTGTTAGGAATCGTATTTCGGGTTTATTTGTTGTTTACATTATCTACCTACTTCTTACGAGCCAAACATCGCGATTCCCGACGAATGCCTTCCAAGTTGCATACGTTGGGTATCACAGAACTCACATTAGTAGCGGAAATATACATTTTCACGATGTATTTTATTATTTTTTTACTTTTTGCGCATAGTAACCACGGAAAGTCTGTTGTGACGTAGGAAGGAGAAAAGATGCAAAGTAATACGGACACTTGCGCGCAGCGATAATTTTATTTAGCTTGCGTGCGCGATTTGACTGGATAATAATAACTATGTAGGCTTTTAAAACGTCCGGAAGTATTTGAAAAAGATTACCTTGTAATCAGACAAAATATAAAATAATAAAAAATGATTCACAAGGAATACCTAAACAAAATAATAAATCGTGTCACGTTAAGAATTTTTTTCCGTGGTAGAGCCATGCTGCAGCTATATTAGTAGTATAGTAGCACGAATGGGTCGGCTCGACCGGGGAATTACCACGCTCTCGCAGAATACCAGCGTAAAATATCAGCATATCGCTGCTGTGTTTCGTATGGTGAGTGTAAAGAACCGGAGACCCTTTTTACTGGAAACGAGGCATTCTATCTTAGTCCTCACGAGTGTCAACGCATCTGCATTTTGATTCGTTATCGAAGATAGATGTAGATGTGTATGGGCCACAGCAACCACTTACCATCAGGACTGTGTGCTCGTTTGTCACTATTATTCTATATAAAAAAACCAAATTCTTGGTGCCGCAAACTACCTACCTGTTTGTCTACGTATTCGCGAAGAACACCTTCATCCGTGGCGGATTCATAACGCGACTCCACTGTACCTAGGTACATGTTATAGGCATATCGAAATACAGCGGGTGCCGGATTAGACAGGGACCGGATTACCGGGGGTGTACTGTATTCCAAACATAATATAAAATCTTTAAATAAATCTAATAACATAATTTCTAAATATGTATTAATATGAATTGAAAAAAGGAATAAATTCATTACTAAAAGAAAACTGACATCAAATTTGTATAGGATCCTTGCGAGACCCTTTTAAAATCTGCTAAATCTCTGAAAAACAGATATTTTGTAACACTATTAAAAGTGATAATGTCTACATTTTATTGAAGATTGATGCTGATGAAAATTAGAATCGGTCAAAAGAAATGTGAAATTTTAACACCAAATTACATGAGTATAAATATCTTATAAATTTTACAAATTGTTATATTGTTTTTTTAATATAAAACTTGGAAGTGAAAGCGAACATTGCTGAAGTTATTTTATTTTCCTGTATGAAATTGTCCCAGTTCGGTCGCCTTTTCAAAGTACTAAGTTGTTTATTAAACAAATACATGGCAATTTTTTTCTTTTCTGTTATCTTTACCTGCGAAAAAAAAATTAAATCCCGTACAGTTATTTCTCAGAAGTTAATATTGCCAGCAGTTGAATTACAATGAGGCTATACACACAACAACGGTCGTAATAGAAGACAAAGCAACTCTACACTTAACAATGCCTAAGCATTCATTACCTGTGCGAAGGCGGCCACAGTATACATTAGCTGTAGAATACAAATGTACTAGTGATTTTACCTATTAACGTCAAATGAATTTCGGTACCTACTAATTTTATGTACTACAGTATACTTACATCTACATGTACTAGTTTTTGTAGAATTGTTTTAGGATTATTCCTTCAATTATTTGAAATAAAAAATTCTGTGTATTTATGGTACACAATTTAAAAAATACTATATACTATATATACTAAATTATGTGTTTTAGCCGTTGTCTTGATGAGTTGACCCGTAGACCACTGCAGTACAATTCGACTAATACTTCAGAATCCTGACATTATGATACATCGATAGAAAAAGAAAACAATTAGATATACATATACGATAAAGTTTCAATCTTATTAAACGAGTATAACATTTATATTGTTTTTTTTATTTTAAATAAATCAGACATTTAAGAATACTATCTTCACATTTCTAAGGCCTATCCAACAGATATATCTCTTTAATTCTATCAGCACATTGGTTACAATTTCTGTAATCTTAATTACAGGACTTAGGTCTTCTTTGGTTTTTTTGGATCTGATTAATTTTAAAAACTTATCATTGATATTTGCTCATTAAGGAGTAAACTTTATCGTAACTAATTGATGGTCTTCATTCTCTTTCGACACAGGTTCCTAAAGAACTAATCGAATGGTAATCACTAATCTATGGGTAAATAAAATGACCCGATGACCCGTTGACCCAAACGGAAAGACCCAAAAGGATCAAAGGTAAAAGGTTGTAATTTTAGTATCAGCAGGGTTTGAAATAATTATTAATTTTTAGGTTTACATTTAAAGCTATACATGTGCTTTCTATGAGATTTATATATCAGAATATCAGGATTTTTTCAACAATTTTACTCATCTTATTAGCTTAAAACCCATATAAGGGTTATGATAACATTGTAGCGTTAATCAGTCCAAATATAATTGTATACACTACACATGTATGCAATAGTTGTATTTGACTAACCGGTTTAACCGTGACTGGTCATCGTGTGGTCCCGGGTTCGAATACCGGGTCGGGCCACAAGCAGTTTTAGGTAGGGTTTTTCTATCAAAAAATTCTCAGTAGCAGCTCAGAGTCAGGAAGTTCGCGGTGTTCCATCCCCGTGCCCTCGGAAAGCACGTAAAACTGTTGTTCTTGCGTCTGATTTCTTTCCGGTCCTGACTGATTTCCGACACACGAGAGTAAGCGAAAAAGTGAGTGTCGCACCTGTTTGCGCACACACTAATGTACTTAATCCTGTCCTGCGCTCATTGCTAGCTCCGTTGAGATAGGCCGCCGCGACTGAAATGAGGTTTGGAGAATGTATACCCAGTATGGTTTTTATTGCATTGCGAATTTTCTATTGATATATGTAAAAAGCTAAGCTTCCTTTCTATGCTAAATAATTAATCTTATATCCAGATTTCGTAGTTTAAATGCTAAATGAAAGACGTAATTTTTTTTTAACCGATTTGGCCGAAGGTTTTAGTCGAAAGTTTTCAAGAGTTCCAACGTAAAAAATGAAGCGAAACTAATGTTTGTTGTGTAGTAAATATTTGGGAAAATACGTTTTTAAAAATCGTATGGTTATTTCATTTAGATTATTTTTTGGTATTTGAGCTCGTGGAGCACTTTTGTTTTTTGGTAGGATGTCAGTTTAATTTATTAAAATTTATATATTTTAAAATATACATTCATGTTTTTAAATATTCGTAGATATTAGCCATTGTTGCTACGCTTGGCAAGCGGGTTGGCAACATATTTATTTTTATTTGAATCGTTATCAGGAAGGCGCTGCTGCCAATCTCCTGATTTGTTTCCCTCTGTCGCCTCTTACGACACGCACGGGATGATATGGAGTAGTCAGTACAGTTACTCCACCACTACACGGTTCATACACCTTTGTCCCGTAATTTTATTACTCTGTAAAAAAAATACCGTTTCACATAGGCATTCCTAACCGCAAAAGCTTATTCGTACACAAAGGATAAGACTTATTGTATTTGTTTCAGGTAAACTGGGTGTCGACTCCGTAAACGAGGACACGACGACGTCATGCACGGAAGACTCCATGGACGCCAAGGCGGCGTCTCCCGCCACGCCCGCCTCACCATCAGATAACTCCGATTCCGCCTTCAGTACGCCGCGCGCCAAGCGGTCAGTTGTTCACATATATCAAACATGTTAAATATGAATTGTTTAAGATCCACGTAATATAAAGCCGCGTCTCCACCAAAAATGTTGACAACATTTATGTTTCCAACTGTTGACAAATCAACAAGTTGCCAATATTTGTTTCCGAAAATGTTTCAAAATGTTCCAAGAAGCGTCTCCACCGAGGGAACAAATGTTTGCAACAAGCGTATTCCTTTGATGTTGCTGCCGAAAATGGAAACACTATTCCCGACATTGTTTCGTTTTATTGCTAAAAGTAGGTGATTACAGAAACATTTGTTGGCAACACGTGTTGGCAACTGTTGTGTTGGCAACAAAACTTTGTGGAGAAGCGCCATAATAAAATGTCTTACCTAGTCTAAAGGGCACCTCCCGCCCTTCCTCAATTTCGTGCACTATCTGTCACCACTAATCTTAACCGCTACTAGGAAAGACACACCACCGTCGAAAATACAACACGTGTTTCGTTTTTAAACGAGACTGGTGAAATAGACTGTGGTGGCAATTTTTTTTTAATTTATACATAAGCACGTATAATGGCGCGTCTCCACCAAAGTTTTGTTGTCAACACAACATTTGCCAACACGTTTTGCCAACAAATGTTTCTGTCAACAAGCGTCTCCACCGAGGGAACAAATGTCGGCAACAAGCGTATTCCTTTGATGTTGCCGCCGAAAATCGAAACAAGTTTTGTTGCCAAATGTTGTGTTGACAACAAAACTTTGGTGGAGACGCGGCTTAAGAAGCTAATTAACTTCTTTCTGAAGAGACGGAGTTTCTACATAGCTTTTTTCCCAAACCAGAAGAGTTAAATAACCGATCACCACTACCATTCATTCTCTTATGAAAGGCAATTGACTGGACATAACAGGAATGCTAATGTTATTTTCAAATGTTCGATCTAAAGCAACTGTGCGGTGCGTTTGTCTAGGAAGTACAAATGAATAAAATTTGAAGTGTCTGTTTGTAACGTCAAAATAACAACTTTACTAAATGTATAATATGAAAGTATATACTGTACTTGTAACAAAAAAAATATTTTTAAAATTTTTGTCTGTCTGTTTGTTCCGGCTAATCTTCGAAACGGCAGTACCGATTTTGACGGTACCCACTGGCAGATAGCTGATGTTATAAAAGAATAAAGGTTCCGCACAAAAAATTAAAACCCATTAAATTCAATCGTAATAAATTCCACGAGAGCCGTGGTAGCTCAGATGGTTAGCGCTCGCTGTAAATTTCACAGTACACGAACAACCCGGGTTCGATCCCCACAGGCATTAATGAAATTGTTAATTGCGATTTTAAGTGCTGATATACCACGTGCTCGGCGGTGAAGGAAGAACTTCGCGAGGAAACCTGCATGTCTGAGAAATAATAAAAAAATAATATTTCGAAGACATGTGAAGTTCGCCAACACACATTGGGGCAGCGCGGCGGACACTTCCTTGCCCTAAAACCCTCTTAAAATTGAGAGGCCTGTGCCCAGCAGTGGGACGTATATAGGCTGTAAAAAAAAATTCACGCGGAGGAAGTCGCTGGGAACAGCTAGTAGCTAATAAAACACAGAAATTTGTGTTTGATCAAGTGAGTAAAGTTGACATCATTTTCCCATCAAAATTTAACAAAATAAATAGACAAAATTCAGTACATATCAAATGTATTTAACATATTACATAAAAATACTTAAGTAGGTAATTATTAAAAAAAAAACATTAAACCATAAAGTAAACATAAATAAATAAAAACTTGTGATAATTAAACAGGGGGTCGATTTTAGATTTCGTCGAACCCCAAAATAAGTTTTCGTTTATGTCGACCCATAGATTACCTCCTAAGTCGACCCCAGGGAAACAGATTTCGACCACTGGGAATCCCTGCGGTTCACGCTGCCACTACCCGGCACAAAATAAATATTTTTAATTAGTACTATTAGTATTTTTTACTTCTATAACCTATACAAATAAATAAAATTGAAGTGTCTGTTTGTAATGTCAAAATTAAAGTTTTTTTACTAAATGCATATGAAAGTAAATACGGTACTTATAACTAAAATACAATTTTTTAAATTTTTGTTTGCCTGTCTGTCTGTCCGTCTGTTTGTGCCGGGTAATCTCCGAAACGGCTGGACCGATTTTGACGGGACTTTCACTGGCAGATTGCTGATTTCATAAGGAGTAGCTTAGGCTACTCGTACTTTTATTTTTGAAAAAATATTAGGATTCCGCGCAAAAACATAAAAACCCTAACACGCGAGCGAAGTCGCGGGGAACAGCTAGTTATTACTAAATTGAGGAGTGACGCTGATAAGCTTCATGTGATTTACGATGAGAACCGATTATGGAAATAGTAGGGAACCTACACACATCACTCAGAATCAGGTAGAAAGTATTCTCGATTGTTACCGTTACTTGTATGTTGGCGTCGCGGTCACATAAAATTATAAATTTTAAGTAAAATAAGTAATACAGAACATCCCCGATTCAATTGCTCTGAATCCCAATACAGTTTGAACACACATAGTATAATACGGCCGACGTATCTTGGCGAGTCTGAATATAGGCTCTGCGAAGTTTAGCGCATGAACACTCGTGAAGAAAACTGTTATTGTCATTTTTTTATATATACCAATGTACAAATAAAATTTCCCTAATACAGTGACATTATAAATTAAAGATTCAATTTTGATACCTCACCTTTCGATAGGGGCAGATTTTATCACAAACACATACAATATTATTTACATTTAATACTTTTTATTTATTTACACTTATTATTATTTAATCACTGTCGCTGAGGGGGGAAATTCCTAACATAAAGTCGTCGGCCCCTTGTGTACCATGTGAGGTACTTGGCATAGGTTCATCTTCGTAATCGTCGCTCTCACTTTCAGACTCACTTTCTGAATCTGAAGCTGTATTAATGATGAATAATTGATCCGTCATTTCGTCAATAATATGGTCGCTCTTCCTATAGTCATGTTCGACCTCTTGCACTTTTCTGCATAAAGCACTCCATTCATTCTGACCCATTAAATTTACTTTTTCTTGTATGAGCTCCATTGTCCGGGTTACGTTCCAGTCGACGTTTTTAGCGGCTACGTGCCCTTTAATGGCAGCCCACACCATCTCGATGGGGTTTAAATCGGGATGATATGGGGGTAAACGAAGGACATCGTGGTTGTTTTGTTTAAACATTTCATCTATTACGTATTTTTTATTCACGTCTTTGTTTTTTTTTATTAGATCGTAAAGTTGTGGTTTACGCATGTCCTTTTCATATGGTATACCCTTTTCTAATAACCACGATTCCATTTTTGCCTTCTTGTCATTAGATGTAGGGGCAGGATCCATTAATTTGTTGTGGTACGGAGCATTATCGATAACCACCACCGAGTTAGGGCTCAAATTTGGAATCAGTTGGGTCCGTAACCATTTCTCATAATTTTTGAAATTCATGTCATCATGATAGTCTCCGGTTTTGCTGCCAGATTTGAACATTAGTAGCGCGTTCGGAACAAACCCTGCTTCTGACCCAGCGTGTACCATCACTATCCGCTGACCTTTTGATATCGGGCGCTTTAGTCCTTGAGCGGAACCATCTGACCACGCCTTACCTTTTGTATGTGATGAGTGGGCATACGACTCGTCAGTGAATACAATTGGTCGCCCTTCGTCCCTGTATTTTTTCATTGCCTTCAAGTACAAGATCCTTTTCAGGCGAATGTCGGTCTTCTCTATAAGAACCATTCTATTGGTTTCGGTCTTTCGCCACTTGAAACCCAAGTTTTTGATAATTGTCTTTAAGCTCGTTTTACCACCTTGAAAATTTATATCCCGTTTGAGTTTCGCTAGTAATTTGTTTATCGTCGGCATTTCTTTTTCAGTTTTGTGGAAGTTGTGTATGCATCTTTTTACTACTCCCTGGTCAAAATTATCCATATCAGTAATAGGTTTTGATCTAGACCTTTTTTTACCAGGCGTGCGGAATACTGAAAGTAAGCCCGAAATATTGCCTTCAGTTGCGATCCGCTGTACTGTGCGTTGGGACACACCAGTTGCGTTAGCAACTCTTAAATAAACTTTATCGACATCTTTTACGCCTTCTTCTTTTTCTTTTTTCATATATTGCGTTAAATCGTAAATAATTTTTCTCGCCTGGCGATTTAACACACTGTTATGTTTTGGTGGCATGTTTGGCGAATAATATAAGTGCTAACTGACACTTGCAAATAAAACAAATAAAACAAATAAAACAAACAAAACAAACTTAACACTATTAATAAAAACAAACAACAATAACAACGAAAACTTTTGTAACCGACTGTGCTCAAGACAGAGATAGCGACACGAACACGACACCAATGCTAACGTGTGACTGAGAAATATTACCGTGTACCGAGCATTGCCGAATAAGCACGAAGCTTTACGAAGTAACCAGAAAGGGATGTCCAACACGCGTGCCTGAGGGTGTTGTTTAATCGATTTTTATTCAAATCGATTAAAATTAAGACATAAAAATATATTTATTTGCAATTTATAAGGAGGTTCTAAATTTTCTCAAATAGTCGTTACTCAAGAAGACGTTAATAGATAATTGATATTTAAGTACATTATGTCTTTCAGCTGAGAAAATAATATGTTTTTAGTTTTTTTTTTTTATTTAAGTCGAAATCTTGTTTATTATCAACAAAATTCACTATATTTGTAAATCTATTTCGTTTAATATCTTATATAAACAAAAATCAATAACTTCTAAATAAAACTAATCGATTGCGATATTTTATGACTAAAGGGTCGATTGTGTTTACTTATGGTCAATCTCTAGCCTAGACCACCGCCCCCCGTACGTCGCCTCATGCCACCATTTTGTTCCTTAAAAAAGCTATTGCGCAACCTTCTGCGCGAAGGTCGGACTCGCCAAGATACGTCGGCCGTATTGTACCAATACTCTAGTAACCGATAGTTCGATATGCGACTGGTCTAAAATCCTTTCCGCCACCACGCACTAGGCGTTGAAACTGAACACGTGTAGACATGGGGGCAATGTTAGACTTGCCAATCGTTTTGTAACGTCGTGTCACTGCCCTTTTTAAGTATTCTTTTGTGTTCACTTCAAGTATTAATACATTAACAATATAAAATTTTGTAAATTCACATTTCGTAGGGCTCAGCAATAACTTCAATACACAATTAACGAAATTTTCTGTCTCACTATACTTTAACGTGTTGTGTTGTGTCTATCAGAATAATATTCTTTAATTCTGATTGGGGTATTTATTGAACAATCTCACCCTTTCTTCGTGTTAGTTTGGTAACTAGTTATACATTAATAAACCTGAGAGCATTATTTTTAACCGACTTCAAAAACGAGGAGGTTCTCAATTCGAGTGTATGTTTTTATGTATGTATGTTACGCGATATCTTCGCAGATTGTGAACCAATTTTGATGATTCTTTTTTTATTAAATAGGTTATACTTTATTAAGGTGGCCCCATATAAATTTGGACAAAAATGTCAACCCTAAGGGTGGCAAATAAATAAAAGTTACAGCCTATATACGTCCCACAGCTGGGCACAGACCTCCTTTCATTTCTGAGAGGGTTTTAGGGCAAGTAAGTGTTCGCCGCGCCGGGTTAATGCGTGTTGGCGAACTTCGGCCCAATGCGTGTTGGCCAACTTCACATGTCTTCGAAATACTTTTTTTTCTTATTTCTCATTCATGCGGATTTCCTTGCGAGGTTTTCCTTCACCACCGAGCAAAGTATCGTGGTAGCATAGATGGTTAGATCTCGCGGCAAATTTCACAGTACGTGGGCAACACGGGTTTGATCCCAATGAAATTGTTAATTGCAATTTTAAGTGCTGATTTACCACGTGCTCGGCGGTGAAGGAAGAAATAACTTATTTTTTAGCAATTTTAAGTCGCTTTTTACTTTTTGATAAAAGTTATGATTATTTCGTAACAATATTGGCGGAAGTCTTATATATGTAAAACTAATATCTGAGAAAAGATGTCTGAAGCCAATTTAGGCATAAAAAATGATTTTGACGTAAGGATTTTTATCATTGTATAATTTAAAATAAGGAATAATAATTCTTATTGTTAATAAAAATAATAAAAAATCGTTTTTGGTAATCTATGCATTATTTCTTACTATAACAATATTTTTATTAAACAATGATTCTAGTTATTATCGTTATTGATAACCTCGGTAATTACAGAATTTTTGTATTGGATTTTTATAGAGGCAGAAAATTTTAAGACTTATTAATATGTTTATTTGTGTACATAAATAAAAATACCCTAATTATTTTTCTTAAATAAAGTAGCCTTAAATTACTCCTTATAACATCAGCTGTCTGCCAGTGAAAGTCCCATCAAAATGGGTCCAGCTGTTTCGGAAATTAGCCGTAGCCGGAACAAATAGACAGACAGACAAAAATTTTAACTTGTGACTTAAGTTGTAGGTTTGTAATAGAAAATAAAAATTGACTAGCGAAATTTGTCTAAAAGATAAACACAATATACCCACGGTTTACTATTACCAAATTAGCTTTAAAACAATACTTCAAAACAAATTTATTATAGAAATGCCTACGAAATTTCCCTACACGAAAGACATAATATTTTAGCGTTTTACTATTACTAGTTAGTTTTGTATATATAAAGCATATTATACAATGATATGCTTTATATATACAAAACTAAAACAAATTTATTTTAGAAATCTTTTGATTTTTTTCTTGGCGCCATTAATACTTATAAAATTATTATTATTGTTATAGACAAATAGAGGAAGCGAGTTCAGCGGAAGAGAATTCACTGGGAGACTCGTCAGACGCACAGCCGCCAGTTATGAAGAAACTTCGAGAAGCTACACACTGACATCCGCGCACTCCCACCAAACATCCCTCGTGCGCCTATAAATAGCTTTTCTAGACTAAAATATTGTACCTAGGTAATTTATTTTTCAATTCCGTTTAATTTTAAACTTTAGTGTTAAGTTTTAAGAGTACCGGTCGGTTTTGTAAGTTTTATAGGGTGTTAATTGAAAAATAAATAATTTCGGATGCGTTTCGACGGAGTTGGCCGAGACAAATGTTTGATGTACAATTTGTGGCGGAGTGAGCCGGAGGTAGGGCCTAGTGTTAGGTTTCGTTTGTGAAGAATTTGTTTGGAAGTTTTGCATCCCGAGTGACATTCCAGTAATTGTAACTTGTACGTTGGCGGCGAGGGAGGGGAGCTTCGCCGTTTCGGATCCGGACCAGATGCCTTTACGATTCACTCACCATTGCCTTATGACACAGTCTGCCCGCAGAGTTTATATGCAACAAGATAATACAAAGGTCGTGTTACCCGGGCGCCGGGCACACGGGCCCACAATGTAGTTTTTATTGAACAAAATATAAGATTAATTTTATAATGTTGCATTTTTATTTTGCCTCATAAAGTATCCCTCTCCATTTAATAGGTTATTCAACCCGACACTATTATTACAGGCAATTCAGAACACATGTTCAACATCTGTTACGCTTAGTATAGTGTGGTATGAAGACCCTGACAATGCTTTGAAATGAAACTAATATACTTTTATGCAAACAAATATTGTATAGCAATGTCCAATTTATAGCTTGTTTATAGTTTATCGAGTTCAGTGCTCCACTGATTTTTAGCTATATAAGGGAACTATAGGAGCTGAACACAAGTTTTATAATGCCTTAAATTGTAATCCACTGCATTAAACATAGAAAAATATATGATATTTTTCAGGATATATTCTAGTTAGTGTTGAAAACATGATGCTAATAATTTGATACGATAGAAACACATCACAAAGAGATACCTATAAAAATTTATTTTAACGATTAAAAACCATATAAATACATGCAATCATTCTATTTTTTCTAGACTTCGAAAAGGAGGAGGTACTTAATTCGACTGTATGTTTTTTTTTGTGGGTTACCTCAACTTTCTTCTGGGTGAACCGAGGTCGATGATTCTTTTTTTATTTGAAAGCTGGTGCTTCCCATGTAATAAATTTGATCAAGGTCTGACCAATAGTTTTTGAGCTATTCTTAATCGTTTATATTGAAGTCGGTTGTACATTTTTAATTTTAAATTATTTGTCAGAGTATTATACAAGCAATATATTAACGCAATAGTATTTTAGTTTTTTAGTCCAAACAGTAGACTTTTTAAATCGCATATTCTTATTTTTGAACATAGTAAGTACGTATGTGTGCGTAAACCCCTGTGTACCGACAATGCCGGCAGAGGCCTGATGCTATACAAAAATTGTGTAAATGTGTGCGTGCGTCATTCGAGGTCACTTAACTCGTAATTTTAAATTTAATCTGTGAATTAATAAAATATTGCTTTTTAAATAAAGAATGATATACAAACTCACTTTTCACCTGATGACAAGTAGATGGTGTATCTCATGGCTCCACGTACATCTAGCATCGATTAATAGATAGCGACGAAGTGAAACTTACATAATATTATATGTTCTATATAAAAGTTACATAATTTAGGGTCATCAAAAGAAATTTTTACAGAACAGCTTGTGTAGGTTAACTTACGTATATTATTTTAAAAAAAAAACACAAATTTTGCTTCCTTCCTTGACCTTCATTTTTTCCTTGTAAGCCTTTTATATTCGACGCCAGATAGAATGCGAAATGATGCATATATTGAACTAGCTGTTCCCCGCGACTTCGCTCGCGTGTTATGGTTTTTATGTTTTTGCGCGGAACCCTAATTCTTTTTCTAAAATAAAAGTAGCCTAAGTTACTCCTTATGAAATCAGCTAAATGCCAGTGAAAATCCCGACAGCCGTTTCGGAGATTAGCCGGAACAAACAGACAGACAGACAAAAATTTTAAAAATTGTATTTTAGTTATAAGTACCGAATTTGCTTTCATATGCATTTAGTAAAAAAAATGAAATTTTGTCATTACAAACGGACACTTCAATTTTATTTATTTGTATAGATTTCTTGAATGTTGTCAATGTCCGTTGTCCGAAACTTCAGACTGGCGATGTGGAGCAGTATTAATCTCCGTGACAAACTAAGAGGGTAAGTGAGTGAACTTAGCCCAGAAATTGTATGCAATTCGTTGAAGAAATAAAAAAAAAATACTCACAGGAATACCATCTAGACCCGTGGTAAGCTCAGGGGTCCCAGTCGGCACCACTACAATCGCTATTTTTTATGTTTAGTGCCAATTTACAGGGAGCTACAAAAATTTTGCAAAAAATTAAAGAGCACACCAATCAAGTATTGTTTTATATACATGCACTTATAAGTAATCGAAACACTTACTTAAAACTCAACTTTTCAATGATTATAACCTTGTGTGACAAATAACGTACGCTTATGATGTGTATAAAGAGACTGAATAGAATGTAGTGAGAAACAATGACATCATCCAATCTGAATATTTATTTGTTCATGTGCAATTTATGGACGTTAGCCTCCACATAGGAATAATTCTTAGTATAGGGGTAACATTTTTTTCATAAAAAATATGCTAGTTGGTTAGCATTCTTTTTTTGCCTGGACGTTTTTTTATTATTTTGAGCTGTTAGCAGGAAGACGCTGCAGCCCATCTTTTGTATCATTTCCCTCTGCCACTTCTCAGACGACACGGATAATATCTCTTTCACCGCGACTACACGTCGAAATCTCTCCTATAAAGCCTTATTAGATTGCTATCTATGAGGGAGGCTTTCATTCAGCATTGGATATCTGAATCTTATCGGTTAAGTAGTAGCTTATAAACTACTACTAATACAACCAACAGTGAAAAGTTGCGGGAATATATCATCGCATTACTGCAGTTTTGTTTTAAAAAAAAATTTTTGCTCTGACTGGGATTCCCATGGCAGTAAGATTTACGTTGTGTACAAATAATGACTCTCACAGAGGCTGGGGTGTAGTTTGCAATAAAATTAAAATTGATTACAAATTTATAAGAATTTACGTGGTAGAGCCATGCTGCATCTATATTGTGATTGCAGTACGAATGGGTCGGGCTCGTCCGGGGTGGGACCACGCTCTCACAGAATACCAGCGTGAAATAGCAGCTGCATTAAGCTGCTATTTTAAGCTGGTGTTGTGTTTCATATGGTTAGTAAAGAGAATCGGTGATCCATTTTACTGGAAATGAGGCATTCCATCTCAGTTTTCAGGGATGACAACGCATCTGCATTTTAGTTCTTAATTGAAAATAAATGTAGATGGGCACTACATCCACTTAAAATTAGGGTGACTGTGTGCTCGTTTGTCACCCTTATTATAAAAAAAGAACTTGCAACTCAACAGACAGAGTAGGGTATTTGAATATTGTCAAGGCACGGAACAGTCTGTAAAATATAGCACTTTAAAAATATGACATAATGGGGGTGTAAGCAGGACAGTCTCAAAAGCGTGCACCATGCAGGGGTCTTATTAGCCGTGTAGGTTTAGGAGACTCCACTACCTCATGTCACCCTGTAAGACAGGCAAATGAACGAGATGGCAGCAGCATCTATCTAATAAATATTCCCCCTATAAGGCAAGGGCTCGTAACCTGAGAGAAGAGAAAATATCAATACTATTCCTACTTACTTTTTTTTTCTCATGATGAATGAAGTCCTGGAGACCGACTGAACCGGAAAATGATGGGCATCCACGATTTTTTTTGCCACCAGGGCGGCGCTACTAAAAATGAGGTGTAATATTTGACAGTTCATTCGTTTGAAAAAATGTAAACGTTAATGTTTCTTTCTGTACTATTGGTTGTTAAAAATAAATAAACGAAAACACTGATATTCATAAAAATAGAAAAATTAAAAAAAAAAGAAGATATTAAAATGTGCAAAAAGTTAAAGAGCAAACTACAGGCATTGTCATGTGTTCTAATATAATGCTCTAGAAATTGAAACTTATTTAAAACTAATTTCTCAAATGGCATTGTGTAACAAAGAACTTCCCTGTGTCAACTAGCGACATTTGGTGAGCGGAAGATTATGAGCCAACAACGTGCGATTTCTCAGTTTTGCTCAAAATGTCAAAGTAAGATATTGTCAAAAAGGATGAAATGTTGTTTTTAAGGTCAAATGCAGGGGTTTTTATACACAAAATTAATTCAGTTTAACCCAATATATCTAGTAAAAAATAATATGATATGATTATATTATGCCACACGACTAGGCAGCACAGTGGCTATGCTTTACTGTCGGCTGCGAGATTACGGGTTCATATCTCTCACGGTACAAGTTGTTTGATTAGTCTACAAATAATTGTAAATAATAATAAGTGTAAATCGTTGCTAACATTATACTGGGTTTTAATTACTTAAGTCCATCGATCACTAATAAAAAACTTAAGGCTTAACTGCAACCATAAATTAAAATACTGTTTACGGCCATCAATAAAAAAATTGCACATAATAAAAGAACACATTCGTTGTTGTAGTTTAAAAATAAAATGTTATTTCTTTCATCTTGTTATTCCCTGCTATCATACAAGAGAGACATGAAAGAGGCAGTAACAAATTTAATACGAGCAAACAGGGGCATGATTACCTCTGTAATTACGTTTAAATTCCTTTATTTTCTTCATCAGTCCGCAAAAGTCCCATGTCTACTGCCGAACAGCTTCTAACATTGAGATGTTTTGCCTTGATCATCCACTCTTGGCAGGTGGATTGGCGAACGCAGTAACAGATTGGCCCAAAATAATACGTCAGTAAGGCTTAAAAGACACGTTTAAATTCACAGATTTATTTACATACTATATTTAAATATAAAAAAAAATCAGTGCTGGGCTTCAACATCTTGCTGCAAATGTGGGTACAAAGTTGCAACTCTATTGCCGGCAGCCATTCTTCCCGCAAAAT